GAAGTCCCAGTGAATTTATCGAGGCAAAATGAACACAAAATTAACGCTGTGACGCAAAGAGGCATTTCCAGCTCTCTGCAGGGAGGTTGCTCTGCCCACCCAACCGCCCCAGCACCTCCAGGGTGCCCAAACACACCTCTTTTTATTTTTTCTTTACCTCTTTAATAGAGGAACACATTCTGAATGAGAACTCTTCTGTGAAAAGGCCACTTTTAATATTAATTGCTTTGCCTTCATAGAAGAAACTGGTAAAATTGTATTTTTAGCTGCTGCTTCCCACTGTTGCAGAAAGCCACTTGATTAACTGTAACTAAAATTGTACCTTGTTCCAGTCTAACAATAGTGCTTAAAAAAAAGGTGATAAACAAAGCTTTTGGTGGATGAGGAATCAAACGATCCAATTCGCCTCAGGGACTCTTTTTTTTTTTTTCTAGTGCCAAAGATTACACCAAAAAGGGAGTTGAGTATAATCTTGGATCAAGTTTGTTTACAGGCACTTGGGCTCAATATTTTGTCAATAGATTGTCACTCCACAGTTATCGGGCCATTTCACTGGGGTCCACAGGAGATAACACAGCAGATAACACAATTATTCATCCTGCTGACAGAGCCCCACCTCACCCCACCCTGGTGATGGCAGCATGCTCTCAGCTGCCTAAGAGTGCAAAAAAATCAGTATATTGTGACATCTGCCTTTGCCTGATTCCCTCTGCCCAGTGACTGACCCTCCTGAGCCACCAGCAGAAGGCTTGGAACAATCCAAGGGCACGTTGTGCCCAGGCTCCCAAAGTTACCCGAATACAGCTCGCTCAGCAGGGCTCCAGAGCCACAATTCAAGGCTAAATTGGCTTGCTCCTCGCAGAGGAACGATGCCTCCTTAGGATTAGCAATAAAGACTGCCTGAGCCAAGCTGACAAATCAGCCCTCTACCCCAAAATGTCAGATTACAGGCTGCGATACTCTATTCACAAAGCCACGGAAAGAAGTAATCTGTTCCCCATCCCCGTGCGCTCAGCTAAAGTACACTTAATTGCACCAGTTCCGCCAGCCCAGAAAATAATAACACTGTGGCAGCACAAACCACCAGCAAGCACTGCGAGAGAAGTGATTTAAAGCCCAGTGATGAAAACCTTCACGGGGAAGGTTTAAAACGTCTCACCTCAGCTCACCCCCCCCCGCCCCCGAGCTGCCCAGTCCCGTCCCACACAGGTCACTCCAAGTGCATCATCCATCAGCCGAAGTGACCAGCATTTGGCCCGCAGAATGTACCATCCCATGCTCCCTCCAAGGCCCTTCCAGCTTCTAGTAATGTCAGGGTGAGGTAATGGCAGATTTTTGGCGCCCACCCCGCACTGCCTCGGTTCTGCACAATGCTTTGTGTCGGTGCAGTGGATCCAAGCCTAGCTGGGGACTCATTAATCCACGGATTTCATTCCTAAACACACCATTTTCTGAAACAACAATGCACATTAACTCCTCTGGAGTTGCTAAAGTCTGCTGCAAATCAAAACCTGTTTGGGCTCCCCTCGGTAAAGTCAGACATTTCAGTGACCGTAAGGGCCCAGGCTCTGCCAGAACAGCTACCAGGCATCAGCAGTAAGAATCTACTTCACATTCTTAGGGCAATTTTATTGAATTTAGGCAATGTCCTTGGCTCAACAGTGGCTTTACAAGAGAAAAAAAAAAAATATCAGATGTCAGTTGGGGTTTTTTTCCCCCTTTCAAAACACACGCAGGCACTAATCCTGGAATAACAGGCTCATAAAGCATCAGCTGAGAAAAATGCAGCGATCCCACTGATCCAGGGAGCTGTTGGCGGGACACGGCTGTGCTTCCACCCTCTGCTGTGCTCAACTGCACTTGGGAGAGCAGTGACTGCACACTCCTGCAGATCAACTTTCCCTCAGCAAGCGAGCGACTGGGAGACTGCACAGCCAGCTTGTGACTGGGGGCATGGAGTGGGGGGACAGCACCAGCCCTTAGGGAGTGGTATTCCCAGCCTGGTAAAACACAAGTTTAGGGATGGAGAGATGACAGCACTGTCACCTGCAGCTGCCATGTCTCAGACAGCTCCAAGCCTGACTCCAGTCACCTGATGTCTGGAGGAGGAGGTGTCTGTGCTGAGCATCGCTGTCACTCAGGCAGGCTCCGACCTGGCACTGGCAGAACCATCTCCCCAGCGCCCTGGGCTGGGGATCTCCCAGAGGCCACAAACGCAGCTTAGTGACGGATGTGGCCCTGCACGTACCGGGAGGATGCCCTTGTGGAAGTACTTTGCCCCGGAGATAAAACATTCCTCGTGTAAAAGGTCCCGTTCCCACGGAACGCGCTGCCGACAGGCAGTCCCCACTCTCACCACCGCCTGGCGCTTCTGCTCCCAATCCCATTCCCACCCCTTGCAGCCCTGTGCTCCGGCAGGAATGAGCCCGGGTGAGCAGATGTTTTCCTTCTCTCCCCCATCTCCCAGGCAGAGCTCCGTCGCCTGTGGTGGGCTCCATGTGGGCAGAGCTGCCGGCAGCTGCGAGGCACAGCCAGTCTGGGCACGTTTCAGCTGCCTTTGGCTGGGGGCCACTGTGGAAGCTCGGCACAGGAATATGCCCAGGAGAGCCCGATGTCCATCGGGGGGGTGAAATTCCCCGTGGGATGGAAAGCATTCACCCCTCCACCGAGAGGGAGGATCATCACTGAGGGAGGACCTCACCTGAAGCAAAGCGTTAATAACCCTTATCTCCTGCCCATTATCTCGAAAACTGCTTATCCGCAAACAGCTGGAATTAAATAGGTGGATTTTTCTGGGAAGACGGAACCTTTGATTAGTCAGTTTGAAACTATGTGACTGATCTCGCACCCACTGACAGCAAGAGCTCCCTTTGATGCTCAGGTCGGACACAGCTCTGGGATCATCCTGCCTGTCCGGAGATGGACAGGGCAGCTCAAGCAGGAAGGAAGCGTGACTCGCCCGAGTTTCTGCTTGTCACTTTGTCACAGTGTCTGTTATTCAAGAGACTGAAGGGAAAAAGAAAAAAAACCAACCAACTCAAGCAGCAGGCCCGGGGAGCTGAGACAGAGGGGCGTGTGGTGGGTCTTTTTTATTTTTTCCCCTCTTAACAGACTGTGATAAATGTAGCAATCCCAAAACGTGGAGGTGGGGAGGACGTGTGTGTGCATGTGCCTTTTATCAACTGGCGGATCATTGGATGTTTCTGTTACCAAGGAGAAGCACACGCTTGGTAACAGAGGACAGCAACATTTTTTTTCTTTTTTTTTTTTTTTTCTTTTGCATTCCTATATGATAACATTCACCGACATTATCATTTTTCTCAAGATGAGATTCAGAGCCCTGTATTAATTCTCGCTCCGTGACAAATTTACCGGAATGGGAAAAAAAAAAAAAAAAAAAAAAAAAGAGAGAGAGAAAGGAAATAACTACCCGAGAATACAAGAACGCAACTGCCAAGGTGCAGTCTCAGCAGCAGCAGCAGCACCGTGCCGGGGCTGCTGGAGCTGGAGGGAATTACATGTGCACAGCCCCACTGGTCCAGAGAGCTTCCAGTAACAAACCCCGTGTTCTGCTTTGGGGAGCGCTCTGTTGAGGGGCTGATACGGCAGAAGCAGGATTCAACAGCTCACAGAATTCCTGAGGTTGGAAAAGCCCTCCAAGGTCACCGAGTCCAGCCCGATGCTGCCCCTTGTCCCCCAGCCCAGAGCACTGAGTGCCCCATCCAGTCCTTCCTTGGACATCTCCAGGGATGGGGACTCCACCACCTCCCTGGGCAGCCCCTGACAGTGTTTAGCAACCCTTTCCATGAAGATATTCCTCCTGATGTCCTGCCTGGACCACCCTGGCACAGTCTGAGGTTATGTCCTCTCATCTTGTCACTTGTTCCCAGGGAGAAGAACCTGACTCCCTTTTCACTAAAAACTCCTGCCAGGGAGTTGCAGAGAGCAAGAAGGTCCCTCCTGAGCCTCCTTTCCTCCAGGCTGAGCTCCTTCCAGCTGCTCCTACAGGACTTGCAAGTTGTGCTGATAAACGACAGCAGCACAACTCTTCATGAGGGGACCCCGGGGGGCTTGTCCTTGCTCTGTTCACTGCCCAGCCAAGCCCCAACTACTCCTCGTAACGCTGTGACACGACCTGACTGATGGGCAAAACCCTCCACGGAAGGGTATCTGTACCAACAAAACTAAAAGCAGAGACCCTGCGCGGACTTTTCTAACCAGCACCCCGGGAAAAACCCATCGGGGGTGCATCCCATCATCAAAGACATTTGCCGTGCATCGTGCCAGCTTGTGACCGGCCGGACCGTGGCCCCCCTCCCGAGGGCACCGCAGCATCTCCCATCGCCCCGGTGCCCGACGAGCACCCGGTGTGCGTGTACCCACACGTGATGTGTCGCGACTAAACAAAACACAGCGACGGGTCCTCAGCAGCACGAGCCTCACCGCGAAAAACGCATTTCTCACCAAAATTAAAAAAAAAGAGGGTGAGAGGGGGGGAAGAAGAAAATAAAAATAAAAATAAAAAATAAAATAAAATAAATAAAAAATAAATAAAAAATGAAACACGGGGCAAGGCAAGCGAAGTATTATTATTCCAAGGGGAAGGCGAGATTGCAGGCGCGGGGGAAAGCGCCGGTTCCCGCCGGCAGCGGGAAGTTGGGGGACGGCTCCGAGAGGAGCCCCGGGGGTGCTCCTCCATCCTCCGGGAGCTCATCCATCCTCCCCGCGGGGGGCTCACCCTCCGAGAAAGCTCCTCCATCCTCCGGGGGTTCACCTTCAGGGGAAGCTCCTCTGTTCTCCTGGGGGGGTTCAGCCTCCCAGGGGGCTCCTCCATCCTCCGGCTGGGTTTCTCCGTCCTCTCTGGGGAGCTCATTGTCCCGGGAGGGGCTCATCCATCCCCCCGGCCGGCCGGCAGGGACCCAGCACCCCCACTCCCATCCCCTTTCCTCCCTCCCTCCCCCAGCATCCCCCCGGAGGGTCTCCCGGGCGGGCGCCGGTACCTTCTCTCCGGTGATCACATGCAGCCCCTCGCGGACCTTGGCGAAGGATCCCTCGCCCAGCTTCCTGCCGATCAGGTAGTTGCCGACCCTCTTGGTGTGCTGGAAGTCGCGGAGCCGCTCCCGGGGCGCCGCCGCGCTCAGCCAGGCGGCCAGGAAGGAGCCTCCGTCCGCCGCCGCCCGCCGCCCCTCCGCGCCCGCCGCCACCGCCGCCGGCTCGCCCAGGAGCCCATCGCCCGCCGCCGCCGGCATGCCCGGCTCTGCCCCTCGGCACCCTTGTCCCCCTTCCCTCCTTGCCGCTGCCCCCGGACCGCGGGGCGGGCACCCGAGTTGCTCCGGGGTGGGGGGAGCGGCGGAGGCTCCGGCGGAGAGGCTGAAATGCCCCGGGGCTGCTGCTGCTGCTCCGGCTGCTGCTGCTGCTGCCGCCCCTCCCTCCCTCTCTCTCCGTCCGCTCTCCTCCTTCTCCTGCTGCTGCCCCGCTGCCCGCGCGGAGGAGGGACCGGGGAAAAGAGAGGGAGGGACCGGCGGAGGGAGGGAGGGGAAAGGAGCTCTCATTCAGTTTGAATTTTGAGGTAATTTAATCCGCTCGCACGCGGCGGGAGCAGCTGCGACCCAGACCCGGCGCATCGGGGGTGTTTGCAAACCCGGCTGCCTCCCCCTCCCCCGGCATCCCACGGCGGGGTTGCAGACCCTCGCTCTCCCGGGAATTAGCCCGGGGCTCCCCACACCCAGGCACGGCCGCGATTTCACTCTGCGTGTGGCTCTGCTGCCCGGGAGTATCTTTTGTGCTGCTTTTTCCCCCACCTCCCTTCCCCCGAGCACGTCCGAGTCCTTCTCGGGGGCAAGGCGCGACCGCTCCCGCTGCTCCGCCGGCTCCGCTCCGCTTCCTCCCCGCCCGCTTCTCCATCTCCTCCCTCCCTGCTCCCGGCTCCTCTCTCCCGCCGCCGGCCTCGTCATCCTCCTCCTCTCCTGCAGAGCCGGCACCCCGGCTGAGCAGCCCCCCCATCCCGCATCCTGCAGCCCCCAAGTGCTCCCCCCGGCAGCGAGGAGGCGACCCGGGCTCCCATCCGCGTCCACGGGACTCTCCTTTCCCGACCGGCCTTCCCTTTCCCGACCGACGTTCCCACCTCGTGGGGAGGGAGAAGGAACGAGTACATTGCCATTGTCAACTCGCAGCCCCCTCCCATCCAGCCGGAGGCTGCGCCGGCAAACGGCAGTGGAGGAGAGCAAGGATGGGGGATAATCCACGTGTTTAAGAGTTTTGCCCGCGTGTAGTTGCGTTAGGGAATAGTTTGACATGAAAAAGGACCCAGGTGCACCCTTAAACAGATGTGAGTTGTGTCAGCAAAACCTTCCCTCGAGACTCAGCGGTACCTGACACCAGCCGGCCTAGAGCTGTGCTCCCCATCCCATCCCATCCCATCCCATCCCATCCCGCCCCAGGCAGAGCAGCTGTTCCCACCAGAGGGCTGACAAACACACTTCTCTCTGCTTTTTGAGCACTTCTTTGACTCCCTTAGTTTCCCACTAGCCCTTCCAAAACGTGTTCCTGGTGGCTAAATACAGCCTGGTGGTTCCGAGGCTGAGAGCCCTGGGACCGGCTCCACACCACCACGCTCAGTGAAATACATGTTTTCAGACAAACTTTCAGACAAAACAGAAATCCAACACTGCTCCAGTAGGCAGAAACTGGAGAAGGGAAAGCTTCAAAGCCCATAAATAACAGTTTGGATTGAAAATTTCCACTCTTTGCATGCACTGGGTTCACTTACAAGTATTACAGCACACGGCCACCTTAAGACAAGAGTGTGCATGTCCTCTGACCAAACACTGTCCCAGGAGCAGTCTGGTCCCCTGTGGGAAGGTGCAGGGACACAGGACCATGTCCCACTGCCTGACCTGATGGCAGCTGGGGTGACTTTGGCATGACACATCCCTAAGAGCTAAACCAGAGCTACCCCCCTTCCCTTCCCCTGTGCAATGCCATGGCAGCGTGGTCATGCTGCTGTGCTATGGAACAGGGGCTGGGAGGGAACCCAGGATGTTTAAAAGTGCCAGAAAGTTTAGGACAAAGTCCTCTCCTGACCTGGTCACCAGAGAAATTGCAGTGTGAGCGCACGGTGAGGTGACCTGGTACCTCCCTGTGCCACGCAGATGTCGCCCTCAGACAAACCACCGCTGACATCAGGCCTTCCTGAGTCAACTGGAACTGGTAAATCTGGTTCCAGCTAATCTGAATGGTCCCAGAGAGAACTGGATTGAGGTTTCCTAGATCAAAGCTGAAGTGGGAAGGGGACAGGAGCGTCCCTGTGTTTGCAGGGAAGGTGACCCAGTCCTTGCACAGCTCAGGAGAGTGGCAAGGCAAGATCATTCCGTGGTGAGCCTGGTCTGTGCCACGGATTGTCCAGTCAGTGGGACATATGTGAGGGGTTTAACAACATTGCTGGATGGGAACAAGGAAAAAAATGGGGAACCCCCGCTCTGTTCTGCAGACAGTTACATTGGAAGACTAAAAAGTACAAGTTGTTTTCAAGCTGGGAAGAGGCTACATCCTGTCTTATTGAAATATATGACTGTGCTGAGAGGGTTTGGAACTGGACCCTTCCCCTGCCCAAAGAAACATTCCTTCAGAGAGACAGGCAGGCAGACTCTGTGCCTTTGTTTGGGCTCACAGCTCCCACTCCTCTGACAGAAACACGGGGTTGGCCACTGCGAGGATTAAACAGATGTTTATGGTATGTTTTCCAGCCCAACACCTGAAAATCAGCCTCTTTTAAAAATAAAACTGGCAAGAAACACCCACTGCAGCAAACATTAAGAGAGTTCTGAAAGAACCCAGTGAATATTTTTTTTTTAATTGACTCAACTTGAAGACTTAATGAGTTGACAGTATCCTTTTACCCGGCCGAGACCGCTGCCTTCTCACGATTTCTATCCTGTCCAGCTGTGCCCATCAGGGTGCAGTCTGGATGGAAAGGGGATCAAAGGCTGCATTCATTTCTGTCCATGCTCTCATTTAAATTTAACTCCAGTGTGCTTTACTTTGAGCTGCAGCCTTTCTAGGTAATGACATTTTCTGATTAACTGTTGAAATTACTGATGAATTAAGGGCAGTAGTCTGTCTTCAGGTTGCAAAAGCTGTAACAACAAGCTACTAAAGATAATTTAGGACTCGATTTAAACCCATGAAAACAAAGAAATTCCGAGTTAACCTGACAGCATTGTCCCTTGCCACCTCCAGCCCTTTAAAATATTGCAGTAAAATGTATTATTGGCTTTCAGAATGGAGCCCATCAGCAAAACGTTTCACCTTCCCATGCTGGTGCCTCCTCTGGTGCAGCTGGTGGTGGCATTTTAATGTTTCCCTGCCACATCAGCAGGTCCATGGTTAACTGCTGACTTCAGTCAGGTCGTAGGAGAAACCCTGACTTAGTGCTGATGGGCTAAAAAAAGAAAAAGTCAGCCTGTTATTGCATATGCTTTCCTTGGTATTTCCTCCTGTTTTAAAATAACTGGGGATTTTGCAGGTTTTGTTTTGGTTTTTGTTTGGTTTTTTGCTTGTTTGTTTCATTTGGGGTTTTGTTTTGTTTTGAGGGTTTTTTTGTTTGTTTGTTTTTGGTGGTCTTTTTTATAGTTGTTTTTTTTTTGACAGCTGTTTAGTTTAGTAATATTTGGGTTTCAGATATTGCAGGGCTGTTATTTAAAGGAGATTTTTTTTTGAAGCGAGGACCTATTTTTGTTAGAATAAAAATCTAGCTGGGGCTGTTCTTAACTTGCAAAAAGAAAGGGGCGTAAAAAGAAAAGGATGCTCTGCCAACATGAAAGTAATCGTGGGACCAGCTCCCATTCTCCTTATTTCTGGCGTTTGTTTGTTTGATAGCACAGCTCACACAAGCGGGAAGGCAAAGACCTGGCTTTTGATCCCTGCTCCCAGGGCTCTGCCGGGCAGGGAGGCAGAGGCAGGTGTGGGGGATGAGCGCTGGAAGCAGGAACAGCATCCGGAAGGATGTGCTGGTGCTGCGCAGGATGTGTTGCTTTAATCACCAGCACATCACATGTGCCAGTCTGCTGTCACACAAGTGCTTGGGATGCACTTCCTTTGCGGGATCAAGAACTTAAGGGTGGCCTGGGTGAGACCAATTTCTCACTCGAGCACAAGGAACTCTCATGGCACAGTTACCAAAACCTGAGGGGTTTATTCATTTCAATAAATACTGTAGAAGTGCCTGTAAGATAAAATGGTCTTGTTTGATTTGTAAATAGCCTGGACACACATGCATGGTCTAAAAACCAGAGACACACCAGGCTGGCCACTGTTCATCTCACAGACTCCCACGGGAGAAACTATCCATGAGTCCCCCTGCCAGACCCCCAGGCAAAGGTTTGAGAAAGCAGATGGGCCTTCCACTGTGCCCTGGAGGTCGGTGGACGTTGCCGGCTCTGCGAGGCCACTGGGAGAAGTAAATTCCTGAGCCGAGGATGTTTCGCAGAGAAAGCAGAGCTTACACTCTCCAGATGTTCCAGTTCAGGGTGTGTCAGCAAGAGCTCTCTGGCTGGACTCAGCTGTCAAGATAGTGCTTAGAGGAGGGGAGAGGAAATTCCTCAAGCAGCCTCAGCCTGAGCTGTGCTGTTTCACTGGTCCAGACCGGTGGTCTTGGACTCAACAGTGTCAGAACCTGGAAACAAACATGGAATGCACTGGCTGTGCATTTCATCAGGAGCCTCTCTGTCAACAGTGCAGCTCATACACCTTATTCCTGGGTAGTTCTTTTGTAAATTATCTGAACGTTTTTCCTACGGGATGAGTTGATTTTTCGCTCAGTACTGGTTTTGTTTTCCTTCCCAAAGCTTGGGGATGCACTGTGCAAAGCCTTCCTCCCACAGCTCCTTTGCTTCCCACCGTGTTTTAGTCCACAACAGAATCTTTCACCATTGTACAGTTCCCTTTCCAAACTGCTACAGCCTCAAATCCCTGCTCCTGCCTTGGGTGCTGAGCAGTAACTCCAGAAGTTGCCCTCAACTCCCTCTCCAAGCTCCCTTGGGATACTCCAAACCAGCCTATCTCAACAATACTTGCTGCGTGCTCAAAGGAATGTTTGCTCTCGTTTATTTTCCATTTCTCTCCAGGTTATTCTTCTTTCTTGCTTATTTTTGAGTCTCAGAAATGTTACCAACAAGCTCCTATCACATTGGTTCAAAGAGCACAAAGGAGGAGAAGCTCTGGGACAAGTGATGGTTTAGACTATTTGCCC